CAGTGCTAGCTTGTCATCTGAAAATGTGCATGAATTGCAGCTTCTGTCACGTTATATTTTTCACAAGAGCATGTACACAAGCAGTTCCCAAAGCTTCTGAACATAGTTTGTTAAACCATGTAAATTATACATATAGTCGAACCATGAGACACTTCTCAAGTATATATACTCCAGTCACACAGACGGCTTTTGACTTTCATCCTAAATCATAATCTAAGCTGAAGAGTAAATGTTCAGAATTTTTGTTCTTGGCATTTATCTGCAAACAGAATATGATCCAGTTGAAAAATTAAAGAAAAAAAAAAAAGGCAAAAAAACAAGGAAGATCTGCGTATGCAGTTCAAGTATAACTGAGAAAAGACCAGTACAGTCAGATACTAGTGCCTACTGTGACAGAGATTCTCTCTCACTGACAAGTTGCAATTACTTTAATTCTGTTTGAATATGTCCTTAAGAAGAAGGCAAGATAAAGACTGAAAAATGCTGAACTTAAATATCTGTTCATGTGCTTTTCACCCCTTAGGACTATGTGCTTGCTGTAGATGCTTATCGCACCGTCATCAAATACTACCCACAGCAAGAGCCTCAGCTGTTGAGTGGAATTGGAAGGATTTTCCTTCAGGTATGCATTTTATTCTAAATCTGCTAGGTAATAGTGCTGTTGACAGCTATGTAGTGAATAATTGTTGCATTTAAAACTATAGCAATTTTTATAGGGTATCAAATTATAGAGTCAGTGGTCAAAACAACAAAAAAAATTCTACCATGTAATATTAGATAAAGTTAGGAAATATAAAGCACCTATAATATTAAAAGTATATGCAGGTACATTAGTGAATAAAGAACATGCTGTAGAAAATTATGCTAATAATTTAATCAAAGAACAACATTCTGCTTTCCCTATAAACTTATGGTAAAACTTCCATTGACTTCAGTGATCCAGAATTTCACTCAAAATCTAATTTCTCACTGCTTCAAACTGCATGCAGCTCTCAGTCACATGGTATAACTTCCGCCTTCATCTCCCCAAAATTTGAGAGTTTCCTTCTTTTTTCCAGGTTATATCCCTGAGAAGACAGGGAACCTGGTTTCTAGACAAACAACAAACTTAAACACATAGTATATGGGAGGCTCCTTGTTAGAGGATATGACTATTTGAGGTTAACAGAGAAATTTTTATTTTTATTCAAACTGTTAATTATCATTAGATACTGAAGTAATGTTTTCTGAAGTAAGTGAAATAAAATTAAGTGATGAAGACCACTTTAAATATTTAACATTTTAATGACTAATTAAAACAAATTATTTCTTTTAAGTGTTCTGACAAAAAGAAAGTAAACTGTTTCCTCTCAGTGGAGAAAATGAGAATTAGAAGTTTGGTGTGTTTGCTGAGACCATACAAGATACTGCTAAGAAGTGAGAACTCTTCATGATCACAAATATGGTGTGATTAGTCTCAAAGTGTATTGTGTTGGGATTCAGCATGTGGATTCATTCCAGTTTGCTTTAGAAATTGATTATTCTTATGGCTAGGGGCTTCCTTCTAATTTCCAGGCTAAAAATATTTGAGGACAGATTAATTTACACTTGTTCCAGCATTACCCTTTTGTTAAATGTAATTATTTTGGTGGTTTACACCTTCAGTGGTATTTCTAGAGAGAAATTGTATCCTTTTTCATTATAACTGAATGTATAAGTTTTTAGAATGAACAATACCTGTTTTGTTTGAGTCTAGTTATGCAACATCTGGGAGAAATGCATCTGTTTCATTAGATAGAGTATTAATGGGTGTTCCATAAATGCTTGGATGGACAGTTGCATCTTTGAATGCCATGTTCCATTGGATCATCCCCTAAATGTAAAGAAAAATAATTTTTTTATGTTGTCAAGGGAGAGGTAATCTGTTATATTAGTGATGTTAGTAGGGCTTTGGATACTTCCACTTAGGATACTTCCATAAGCAAATTGGGAAGAAATCTAGGTGAAACCTTAAAATTGATGTGTGCTGTGACTGAATAGTGTACCGGAAAAGTCATTTGCTGGTAGACTAGGAGGACTTGTTAGATTTTTTTTTTTCCACAAGGATCTTTGAGGGTTTGCAGCCTTTGTATTTTTTTGTTAGGTGCTCGTGTGATGAAATTAGAAGCATGCTTGTAAAGTGTACAGACGATTCCAAGCTGGGAGTGGTACAGACACTATGAAGGGCAGGATCAGAATGCAAAATAATCTTGACAAGTTGAGAAACTGAAATGTTAAATTGGCCACGATTCAAACAGCAAAAGCAAAATACTACCAAAGACTGGGAGTAATACACAAATGCACATGGGAAACAACTAACAAGACGCTGTTCTGTAAAGAGGAATTAGGCTAAGGGCAATCAAACTACACATGGGTAAGCAAATCAGACTTCCAAAATGTTGTGGAATAAAAGCAAACTTCATATTCATATGTGAAACATAAAGTAATTCTTCCATTCTCACTGATAGTGAAAGATCAGTTGGAGATCAGCGGGCACTCAGGGAGAATGTGAAGTAACACGGGAGAGTTCAGAGAAGAACAGCAAGAATGATCAGACAAGCCAGAAAGCATGATCTGTGAGAAAGGGGTGAACACTGATTTGCTTGAAAATTATTCTCATTCTAGAAGAAGAAACATAGGAGAAAGTGCAATGAAAATTTTAAAGTATGTGAAAAGGCTGCTTAAAAAGAGGAGTTGTACTATTCTCTCTGAACACGTTTGTCACAAACATTTTTGGTAATGTTGGTCCTGTTCTTGAACAAATAGGTGTTCTCTTGATGTCCCCCTGAATCTGCCTGAGGGCTGCCTGGTTTCTATGGCTTTATGCTCTGAACTACTTTAGTTTTACTCCTTTTGATAGATGTATTTTACCCAGCACTAAGTTTTCTTCTTCCATTTCTCCAGCCCAGAATTCGACACCGTATTGTGAAACCTTCCCAAGAGTATGAGTGAATCCTTCTATGAAACGTACATTGCTAACTTATTTACCAAAGGGGCCTTCTTCAAACATTATTTTTTAATTTCAGATAGCAATGTGTGACATATCCATAGGTGAAATACCCCTTCATTTCTAGGAATCCCCTTCCCCATCCCCCCTTCCCATAAAATCTGTTCCTCTTTATGCCAGCTTTCAAATCCCTTCAGTCTGCACGATCCACTCACCAGTATTTTTCAATCTGCAAACGGACTGTCTCCCTGATGCTGTCAGTGACCCATTGCATTAGGGTTGTTTTCTGTTTCGGTCTTGTGCACTGAGGTCATCCTGTGGTCCTGGGCTATGACCCATAAGCTGTGGGTTAACCAAGTGTGGGTCCTACGGCAGCTACCATGCACTAACTGTATTGCAGTTCTCCTGCCTATTGACAGCTTGTCTGTGGGCAGTGTCTCTCCACTTCCTGCAGAGTAACGCTTGTCTCACTGGAAGTAATTCTGACCTTTTCTCATTTTCAGCTAATTGTATAAACTCCGGAGCGAGTTACAACAAAAGAGCCAAATGAGGAAGTGGGGCACCCCTGCCCTCAGTCCACGCTCCACAACCCACAGCTAGAAACACCGCCTTAGATAAAACTGCACATGCCTTTGGGGTTCTTTTTGTGGTCTTAATATGGCTTTTCAAATACCTTGTTTGATAACAGGCGTTACCAAGGGCACCCCTGCCCTCAGTCCACGCTCCACAACCCACAGCTAGAAACACCGCCTTAGATAAAACTGCATATGCCTTTGGGGTTCTTTTCATGATCTAAATATGGCTTTGATAACAGCCATTACCAAGTCAGCTTGGTACCAAACAATTAGATAATGGACTTTGATATGTTTTTTTATGTTCTTATCCTTTGTAACAGATACAATCAAGTTGAATCTCTTTTCTTCTTATTGTAGTAACTTTATTATGATTTTACGGTCTAGATTGGAGACATAAAAACTGCAGAAAAATATTTTCAAGACGTTGAGAAAGTGACTCACAAATTGGATGGACTACAGAGCCAAATTATGGTTTTAATGAACAGGTAGGTAATTTAATAGCTAAATGAAACTTTAAAATACAGTTTTGCAAAGTATGCATTTTGAACATTAAACTACCCTTGAGAAAATCCCATTCTCTTTCTCTTTTATGTAACTACATCTGCCATAAGTGGGACTGAATGGCATATAGACCCTGGAGATCTGTATTACTTGGTACAGTCATATTATCCTGGATTGAAATTGTGATCCTTCTGTTGATTTTAGAAACCTTTTTCTCATTCTTCCAGGCATTGCATATTTTCACTATGCTTTTTCAATATACGTTTGCATAAATAACTCTTAGGAGAGGAGAAACTATTTTGGGCCCATAGCCTATAATCGGATCTGCTAGTAAAGTTTACCTCCTGGTAGTTTCAAAGAATGTTGGAATACATTGTAGTAAATCAAGCTGCATGATGGGGGGCTCAGTTTGTAATGGTTAGCACATTGGCTTAATATATTTAGAAAATACTATTCAAAAGTACTCTGCAAATTATATATAGCATGGCTAATGAAGAGAGTATCTGCATTTAAATTAATAAAAACACAGTGAAGACTATTGCTTTGGTAGGCAGAATATATAATAGCCAAATGATCCAAGTTGTCATTCCATTTGTCTGTAAATCAGTTTCTCCTTGCTGGTCGCAATTACACCATGAAGAGCAAATGTCAGAAACTCTCACATCTATAACAGGAAAAATAAAAAATGGTGTCCATTCTTTTTAAAATATATTATCACCTTGGGGTTTTGAAGAGAACTGATTCATATGTCACTTACTTTCTAGAGCATTTCTCCACCTTGGTCAGAATAATTTTGCAGAAGCTCATCGATTTTTCACAGAAATTTTAAGGATCGACTCATCAAATGCTGTGGTAAATCTCCAAATTGCTACATTTATAATGAACACCTAAATTATTCTTGCAATGCTTCATGCGTGGATTTAATTAGTACCCAGAGTATGCTCAGAGCTTTATAGAAAAATTGGATGTGGCATGTGTGCCAGAGGGTTTTTAGTATACATAAGGATAAGACACAAAATGGGATGGGAAATGAAGAACCAGTCTATATGAAGGGCATGAATACTTAGGCATGCATGTAGAAATTCCAAAACATTATGTTTTATGGGATATTCGCAAAAGCACTTTTTTTTGGATTCTGTGTTTTTAGCATAGACATGCATGTCAGAAAAATATATAACATATATAAGATTTAACTTGATTTCACACAACATTGAAAAGATATTGTAATTTTAAACATGACATTTTTAACACATTGCCTATCAGAGCCTTGGATTCCCATCACAAGAGGAGATGAAAGAAGAGCTATTTATTTACTTCTGGGTTTTCTACATTCGGCAGCTTTCAGTGCACAGTCATATCAGAGTGTTCCTAAGAACTGAGACAGCTTACCCCAGTCACCTGATCCAAGGCCATTTAAAGACTGAGGGGACCGAGTTTAAGAAGCACATTAATTGCACCATTTTGCAGGCTGTAAAATAGTACGTGTTATAAATTGCACGAACAGTAAGGTTTCCTGAAGGGAGAGAGAAAGAATTTTTTTAAAACAGTTGTGTTCTTCCCTTATCTGCAGCTTTCAGAAAGTGTGAATGTTTCTGCTGCTAAACATGTTATATGACTTTGTACTGTTGGAATCTTTAGGTAACTCATAAAACCTGTTTTGTGTGGAAAAGAAAATGGAACCTGACTTGATCATTTATGATGTACTTAGACTGCCCTATCTGCTGAATTTACTTAGTCAGTTGTAGCTGCCTTTGTGATAAGATAATTTCTTGCCATTGCTTATGTGGATCATCTGTATGTAAGCCAGAGAGAAAAACACTTCTGAAGATATAGTGAAGTCCTTAAAAAAAAAGTGAAAATGACAACATGCAGAGGCTTATGTAGTTCCTGAAATCAGCTTCAGTTGACTTTCAAAATTAACTAATGTCCTATGCTACTTATATTTCGCTTTAGACTCTGTCTTTTAGAGTTTCAGCTCTTAGAAGTCAGCAGGTCCTACTGGTGCAGGATAAATCTTGAGAATAACGAGGAAAAGGGTTGGATTGTACAATTGATAATGTATTTTAGTTACTTGCACGCACACATAAAATAGTAATTCTTAGCACATAGTAAATCTGTTGTAAGTCCAGACGCCAGGCTTCTTTTTTTCCTTCTATCTCATCACTTGTAAATACATACATACATAGAGAAAGAGACTAATTTATTTATTTATTTACAATATATTTTTTCTCTAGGCTAATAACAATGCTGCTGTTTGTCTTCTTTATCTGGGAAAACTGAAGGATTCCCTCCGGCAGTTGGAAGGAATGGTTCAACAGGACCCTAAACACTACCTACATGAGAGTGTTCTCTTCAACTTGACCACAATGTATGAACTGGAGTCATCTCGCAGTATGCAGAAGAAGCAGGCACTTTTAGAGGCTGTAGCTATCAAAGAGGGTGATAGCTTTAATACTCAGTGTCTCAAGTTAGGATAGATCTTTCCAACTAACTTTTCCAACACAGATAATTTTTTAAAATTGTATATATTCTTGCTAATGTGTAAATGTGAAATAAAATCTATTCAATTATGAATAATCAGTGGCATTACTACAGAATCTGTTGCCTGTAACAGTTCTATCATTGTGAAGAGTTTGTGTGTAGCTAGAGACCGCTTCATCCCTGCAAGTCTGTTACTGTTTAGTTATTCTTCATTACAGTGTACTATATATATATACAGTCAATTACTCAGATCGTTTTTATAAGAAAAACTGAATTTGACCTTATAGTGTCTTGATGATTGTTACAGTTTTTCAGTAATTAGTGAGCAAATCACGAGCTAATTTCATCAGCTAAGAGTTATTGACAGAGTATCAGTACATATATTACAGAAATGAAATTCAGAATGCACTTCTTCACTTGCTTCTGCTGTGTGTGTCTCATTTTGCCCCCATCAAACTATTGAGTATTCTATCTTTGTATGTCCACTGCTCTCAAAGGAGATTTCTTGATAACCACTGTACAGAATCACAGCATGGTTCAGGTTGGAAGGGACTGGTGGAGGTCATCTGGTCTAGTCCCCCAATCAAGCAGGACCACCTAAGGCAAGTTGCCCAGGACCATGTCCAGAGAGCATGTGAGGGAGTCATACAGTCCCCCACAGTACAAATTTCCCACAGTACGAGGGAATGTATTTACATTCTGGAAAACTGTGGGTGGGAGTGGAGGATTTCTCTATTCCCAAACTAATGCTTGCTTCAATACTTCTTTCCTGTCTCCCACTCTCTGTCCAACATCTCTACCTGGATGTCACCGGCAGATGCCACAAGGTTGTTCTAGGAACCCCTTAACTTGTGCACATGTATTTCAGCTCTTATTATACTACAGCTGTCTTCCTCATGCCTACCCTAGAGCCTGTGGATTCCTCTCAGTGTAGACAGGCATAGCTGCTCCGCTCTGGTATTCTGCCAGTTAGGCAGAGTGGAAACACAGCCCATTTCAGCTCAGTTCCTCTCCTTTCCACGTTACCAAGGGAAAACACCATGCAGAAAGTATTTCCCAGGGAAAAGGATGGAGAGACTGAGGCAGAGATGTCTAAGGGTTAGGCCACACAGCATGGAAGCAAATAGGGTGATGCACAGCAGGACAGACGGCAGTTATCACTGTGTGACAGTACCAGCATACAGTGATTCTAACATCCCTTGGAACACAGATTTTTGGAATCACCGTAGCACTGTGGTATCAGTGTATTTCACACCTCTGCCACATTTCTGCCTTAACCTGTATTATAAAGATTCAATCCAGATACTCCTATTCCTTGTACATGAATACAATATACACATCTTTTCATTTATTTTTATTGTTTTGAGATTTAATGTTTGGCAATTGGAGTAGCTTCTTGTCATAAATCACTGCCATGGGACAATTCTTAAACTGTATCTGTTAATTTTTTTTATACCACATCTATCAATTAATTCTTGCCATCTCTAAATACCCCTACCTGTATTTTTAAGTAACTAATAACCCATTTTTTTATGCTGGTCCAACTGGAGATACTGTACAGTGGCCAAACAGTTGTCCTCAAAAAATCAGGTTTTTGAAAACTGCTGCAAGCTGGACATGCAAAAAAATGAGGAACCGTAAAAATCACCAGGCACTTCAAAAGATGGAAGACTACAGCTCATACAGAGAATTTGTTCCATTTTCACAGGATAGACATGCTTCATGTGTCATACTTGCACACTGAAATTCTGGCTAGTGATATACCTAACAACTGAAAAAAATTAAATCAGTTGGTATTTCTGTTTCTGGCTTGGCCTCTAGGTTCCATAGCTGGATCTGAATTAAACTTGTGCAGCATCTGGGTAGGTCTGTCCTAAGGTACCACTGCTAAACTCAAAAATGAAAGATTCAGCACCACTTGCTTCAGCTGGGTTTAAACACCATTTACAGATCTTTAGTGGATATTAAAATAGAGTGAAATAAAAGTAGTTACATTTGCATTACTCTTTATGAGGTTTTACATTTGTTTTAAATATTGCTGTGATTTTAGACAGGGTTTAACAGTAATTGGACAAATTCTCAGTTAATGGGATAACTGAGTTGAAATCCGTGTAGTTTTCAGTTTGTCACAACTATTAATCTGATCTGGTGTGTTACTCACTGTAACTCGTTGTAAGTAATTTTAGTACTCTCCAGCATAGGTCACTTTTCTTGGGCATGGGGTTTTTTAGGGGGTGATAGAAAAAAAAACCTGGTATGTAACCATCATTGTTCTCAAGGGCTTTGAGAGCGCTGAACAATTTACCAGAGCATGTAGTGACAGGACAAGGGGCGACAGTTTTAAACTAAAAGAGGGTAGATTTAGATTGGACATAAGGGAGAAATTTTTCACTATGAGGGTGGTGAGACACTGGAACAGGTTGCCCAGGGAAGCTGTGGATGCCCCATCCCTGGAGGTGTTCAAGGCCAGGCTGGATGAGGCTTTGAGCAACCTGGGCTAGTGGAGGGTGTCCCTGCCCACGGCAGGGGGGTTGGAACTTGATGATCATTAAGGTCCCTTCCAACCCAAACCATTCTGTGATTCCAGTTAAAAAACTTTACAATTATGTGTAAATTAATATCTTTCTTATAAGAGAGATTCCCATGCATTTAGCTGAAGGTCAGGTGTCATGTTATATTGTCAGGCTATTGTCTGTGCTTTCAGGAAGCTTGATTTGTCTTTTCCAATTCTAAGTGAAAGCAGCATGATCCACCATCATCCAGTATGCTGAAGCCACTTGCCTTTTCATAATCGAGGACTGAAATGTTTCCTTTTTTGATTCAGTAGTGCCTTATACTCACTGCATGTATAAATGACAGCCTGTGTTCTGATCGGCAGAGAATAAAAATTTGTGGTCCCAGTCAGCATCAAATAACCATTAAAAAAGAAACACCCTGAAAACATAATCCCCCTGTTCTCTGAGTTTCTCTAAATTCTAATTCATATGTATTATTACATAGGGCTCACTTCAGTATGTTTACTGTGTTCTTATTAGTAGAAGCTTTTACTTGGATAAAAATGCCAGTAGAGGAGACTTGGACTGGATGACCTCTAAGCTCAGTGAGCCATTAAAGAAGTGACATCCTGGTAGACTTGCAGAATAATTAAAATTTAAATGCAAAGGCATATTATCACTGCTGGATGTATGCAAATTGTTAACTGTTTATAAAATGCAAGAAAGAATGTCAATGTCACCTTATGGTTTGGATTTAATATATATATAAGTTAAATGTTTGAATTTCCTATATTCAGACAGTTACACATCTGAATGCAGTATATAGTGTTAAAGCATTAAAGCTAAGGACAAAATTTGTCCTCAAAACATTAATTACACCAGGCAATCCTGCTAAATTCAATGAATTCAGCTGAATTTAATGAGGGTTCCTGGTGTAAATGAGGGCAGAGCTCAGTTCTCAAACACTGCATGCGTGTGTCGTTTGGCTAAGTGAGAAAAGCTGTGGAAAGTATAGCCTGAACGAGCCGATTGTTGTATTCAAGTCTTAAAGCTTAATGTGCCTCAACAGAAGTTTTGCATTTAAATTTCCTCTTTTATTAAAAGAGGAGCAAAGAAGCTGTACTTCAGACATTCGGATAATTACATTATGCCGAGAGACCCTGATCCTCAAAAGGACTTAAGCATCTATCTGCCATTTCTAAGTACCGAACTGCAGTTCAGGTGATCATGGATGCCCCAACCAGCTGGTTGTTTACATTTTCCTGGTGCCTCATTTTTTGGACTGGACCCATTACATGTTCCCCAAAAGGCATGTGCAGACATGCCTGAAACTCCACAATGGACTTCAGCCAGCGTATTGGAAAGGATGATCGTTCCAGCACCTGCCTCATCCTTCGTGTCAGCAAGAGCACTCGTGCAGCCATGCACAAGCTGGATGAGCTCACTGACGCAGTAAAAAAACTCACCAAGCCAACAAACACCCCCTTCGGATTTATCTTCATCCTGAGGCTTCCAACACAACCATGTGCTGGGAATAACCAGATTTTCTGCACTGCAGCGCAAGGTTTTCTGCACTGCAGTGGTCTAAGAAGTGGTAGACAGACAATCCTTTACTGAAGCCTTTGCTGCAGGTGACTTGCAAATCAGACTGGAGAGAGGAATAAGCAGGGTATAGGCTGCATGCACAGCTAAGTTATGTCTGTCCTATTTGTGCATCACCTGATGCACTCAATCGTGGGCATTGTAGCCGTCCAACAGAAGTTTGCAAGATACACAATACCCCCATCTCCAGTCATATTCAGCTGTAGTAAGAAACAAATTCACTCTTTGCTTCAATTTGCAATCAAGAAACCTGTGAAAACAGGACTGAAGATCAAATAAGAGATTTAAATTTATTCTGAATAGGTAGAAGCAGCCAGAACCAACCTGAGGTTGCTCAGGTAGGCCAGGGAAACTCTGAAGATGTTAGAACAAGGTGAGGTTTATCCATTAGCTCATATCTACAATATATGCTGAAAGGAAGATGTCATCTAGCCCTTCCACATACCCACTTAACAAAACATTGGAAAAAAAGGTATTTTACCAGTGAGGTACTTCACATTGTAGGAACCTTCACGGAGTTTTCAGCATATGAACAGCAGCTCAGTTTCGCTGAATGCAAACAAGCTCCAGCACTAACTTTCAGGGAATGACAGTGGAAAGCTGCTTTCCCGCATAGTTCTCCCAGTCAGCTTGGCAATTACAAACTTAGAGATTCTCATCTTTTCAAGGGGTGTGTGAGATGGTCACAATCCCAGTGTTAGGGAGAAACAGAAAGGAGCAAGTGGGGAGGAGGACCCAGGTGCTGCCTTATCCAAGCTGTTCTAAACCAACACCCCATCCTGTCCTGGCTTTGGGCAGTCATTTGCAGATGTTTATTATCACAGAATCATTGAATGGTTTGGGTTGGAAGGGATCTTAAAGATCATCTAGTTCCAAGCCCCTGCCCTGGGCAGGGACACCTCCCACTAGCCCAGGTTGCTCAAAGCCTCATCCAGCCTGGCCTTGAACCCCTCCAGGGATGGGGCATCCCCAGCTTGCCCGGGCAACCTGTTCCAGTGC